GAAACCAAGGAAGAAAATAAGAGAACTTGGAGTTTTTTATTAGAGGCTTTCCTTCCTCGGCTAGAGGATATTTACTACCGTGCATATCCCACTCCCACCACGTGGTTTCTTGGGGCCCAGCCTAGTCCTGCATTACAGTGGGTGCTCCACGCACATTTGTTAGATGAGTTAAGACACTGCTTGGCTGCAGCGAGATGCCAGCCAGTTATTGCTGCTCCCTAGACCAGCTCTGCGAAGCCCTGGTGGCTTGACAGCTAACCTAGTGGTCTGTGATTCCAACACACCAACAGTTCCATGGGAGAGGAGACCTGGCAATCGGGTCCCCTAAAGACTGCAGTCCAGAAAATCTTACAGGACAGACCCCCAAACCAAACACACTGCTAGCAAATCAGTTGCAACTCATAGCGACCCCATAGAGACCTGGCAATCGGATCCCATAAAGACTACAGTCCAGAAAATCTTACAGGATAGACCCCCAAACCAAACACACTGCTAGCAAATCAGTTGCAACTCATAGCGGCCCCATAGAGACCTGGCAATCGGATCCCATAAAGACTACAGTTCAGGAAACCTTACAGGACAGACCCCCAAACCAAACACACTGCTATCAAGTCAGTTGCAACTCATAGGGACCCTGTAGTTTGTGGAAAAATTCTATCATCTTTTAATTCCATTCCCTCCCCCACACCCACCCCTCAAATGAACATTTGAAGCCCCCGCATATTTGCTTGTGCAATGCTCACCACAACTTTACGAGGTAGGGGCTTTTTGGAGACCCATTTTTCCGACCAGAAAGCTGCAGCTCTCAAACATGGAATAATTTGCATTTCTAGAAAGTGTTCTGAAGTCGATGGAAGTAATTGGGCCCCTAAGACCTTTGAGGGTCACAGTCTTCCTTGTTGGACTTGTAGTCCTGAGGGATGTGCCTGATGCTGCAGAAAACTTAGGGTAAGTGCCATGTGGTCCGCAGCACTAGACTCGGTGAAGCAGGAGCGTGGGTTGATACTGTTCTTCGTTTTTAGAGAAGTTTCTTAACAGTGATCTTATTTGTACTTCAAAACAACCTGGAGACCGAGGCCAGGTGTTGGGGTCCCATTTGACAACGAGGAAGCCAAAGCCTGGAACGGCGTGACTGTAGGGGTACAGGTAGGATGTGAAACCAGGCTTCTGACGTCCTACCCAAGGACATCATTCCATTTTCCCAGAGTTTTATTTTTTCAATTATTTTTAAGGTAAAACAAACCACTACCACCGTAAAAACAAAGGCCCCAAGCAAACAAAAAACATCCAAACAAGTATTAAAAGGAAGATGATTCCCAGGGAGGTATCTCCTGGGGCAGATGGTCCCCCCCCACCCCCCAAGCAGCTGTGAACGAGGGCTGACCTGAGCACAAAGGCTTCTGGGAACTCGTGGTCCAATGGGATCCCACTGAGGCCAAGAAGCAGACCAAGTCAGAAAAGACCCTGATTCAAGTCCTGCAGGCCCTGAGGGGGAGGTGTGGAGGCTGGCTAACTCTCACCTGTTTCTCTCTGAGGACTTCTGATTCGTTCACCAAGCCAGCACCCCGCTTCTCCGTCCCCAAGCTGAGCCCATCCACTTTGGGCTGTATGAACCGTGAGGCTCTTTTCCCAACTCTGAATTTTACTTCCCTACCTTTCTCACCTGTTCATTCGAATGTCCCCCTCCTCCAAAGATCAGGGTTTTGGTCAACCAACAATCCATGTGGAAAAGCCAGGAAGGTGACTCTGGAGCATAAGGTTTTGGGAACTTGGCTTACCTGACTCGAGAATCAGTGGGTCGTACTGAGCTCAGCTTGGCTGGGCCACCGAGCCCCAAGGCCCTCCACGTTGTTTCTGCACGGTGGCTTGTGTGGTGACCATTTTTCCTAACCACTATTCCTTTAATGCTGCCAAAGCCAGAGGACTCTGGTCCAAAGACAAGAAAGGGCATGGAGGGAGAATCCAGTTACTTTCCCAGCTTCTAGGCCAAGAATGTGTTTCCATGATGCAAAGCAGATTGCTCTCTGGCTTTTATTTTAAAACCTTTGGGAATGGGAACTTTAAAAATAATACTATCTAATCTTCAATATTTCCCTAGTTAGGAAGTTCTTCTGAACGACTAACTGAAATACGTCTAGCCTTTACTGAGGGCATTTTCCTGTTGGCATGTAGGGGAGCACAGATCAGCTTTCTGTTCTGCAGGCTTCAAGATGATGGCTTCCCTTCACATAGGATCTGGTGTTGACAGGCGTCTTTTCAGGGGCAGACAGTCCTGGTGAAGTTGGCTGGGCCTTTGTGAAAGTAGGTGAGAGTCAATGGACCTGTTTTTAATTGTAGCCACTGAGCCATCCTTGGTCTGGTGGAGAACAAGGGGGACCCCTTTTTTGTCCGGGGTACCCCTTGTCTGAAAGTTGGACAAGATGCTTTATCACATGATCTTTGAGAGTGAAACATTGCCGGCCGGGGGGACCTGGTTGAAGGAAAAGTATATGGGAATTCCTTTGCACTTATCTTCGCAACTTTCCTTTCCATTTGAAATGCTTTTATTTTGGGGAAGATACGATTGAATCTTAAGTTCTTCACTTTGTTTGGTTTGTAAGAAGGTAAGTGGGAGAGAGAGGCTTTGCCTGCTCTAATGTTCCTTTCTATCAGGGAGGGTGTGTGAGTCCGGGTTGACTAGAGAAACAGATTCACAGACACGCATGTGTATCAGAAAGAACTTTATATACAAGAGCAATTGCATATTGAGAAAACATCCCAGCCCAGTCCACATCAAGTTCATAAGTCCAGTATTAGCCCATATGTCAGATAGCAATCTATAAATTCCTCTTCAGACTCACGCAACACATGCAATGACGCCGAATGCAGGAAGATCACAGGCCAGTTGGTGGAAAGGTTTGTGGATCCAGTGGTGGTGTAAGCATCTCAGCGCTGGCAGGGTTTTCCTGGGCTCTAGTCTAACTCCATGTGTAAGGTGACTAGACATCCCGCTTTTGGCAGGACAGTCCCAATTTTAACAATTTTTCCCGTGTCCCGCGGCGTTTTAAAAAAGTCCCAATTTTTGGAAAGAATGCACGACAAGCTAGAGTATACGGTTTTTGGCTGCCATGTGGCTATTTTGCCAGGATATGAGTTTCCCGCTTTACCAATGTTAAAATCTGGTCACCTTATCCATGTGTCTTGTCCAAAGGAATGTCTCACAGGGAGTGAATGTGTGTCCTGCTTCCAGCGAGCTATTTATCTCCTTAGTGCCTCCAAATGGAGTCATCAAGCTGCGATCTGATGGACAGGTCCCACCCTTCACTCTTGTCTCAGATCAACAACAGATGATGCAATGACCAGCCAGGTGTAGCAGAGTGGGTGTTTTAGCTGTCTTCCAACTAGGGTTCGCTCTCGATGCGAAGTGGAAGGTGGTGATCCCGTCGAGTTGTCCAAGAGACTGCCAGGCCAGAGAGGGGCCACGAAAGAAAGAAGTGGGGAGACACAGAGCCTGGAGGACAAGGAGCCCAGATGTTCCTTGGGAGAGTGAGGCAGGACTTTGGGGGGACTGAGAAAGGAGCAAGATCTGGGCCAGAGAAGAAAGGGCCCCTTGATCTCCAGAACCTGCTGCACCAGGAATCGTGCATAATAACATGACATTTGAGAGTCAGACATTGACGTTTGGGGACCTTGTTGAAAGAAGGGCAGATGGGAATTCCTTTGCCCTCTCTTTGTGAAATGATTTCAAAATAAAGAAGTTAAAATGAGGTTTTTTTTTTTTAATTCTGAAAGGATTTAAATCTTAAGTTCTTTTGTATGTTTGGTTTGTAAGAACTTGAGTGGGTTGGCTCACCTTGGAACAGCTTGCAAAATACTTTCAAAGATTCGTATCAGAGCTTGGGGGGCAGGCAAGGCTGATGGTATCATTCCGATTGTACCGAAAAAGGTAGTGAGGTCCTAGTGGCCTAAGGACACAGCTCGGAAATGGCAGTCAGGATCTGAATGGAGGCTCCTTCTTTCGCAAGTGCGAACACTTTCACTGAGATCCACTGAATGACCGTGGTCCAGGCATGCACGTGGCAGGGTAGGGATTGGCCCTGTCGTTCCCCTGTGTGGACCTCAGGCCTGTGGTCAGCAGCAGTGTGAGGTGGCTTTCCTCTTGTTCTAAAAAGCCAGTGGAGTCAACTCTGCCTCGGAAGGATCGCACACGTGTCAGAACTGTGCTTCTAAATGATTTCAGTGACAGATTGATCACAAACAGGTTATTAGGCCTTTCTTCCGACGCACCCCTAGGTGGACTTGAACCTCTGACCTTTCAGTGGGCAGCTGATCATGTTAACTGTTTGCACCCCAGGATTTTCAGTCTGTCTGCTGCAAGATTTCTTCATCTTGCATCCTTCACAGGCCCGGCGGCTGGGTTCCCAGCAGCCCTAGAACCAGCAGCATTGCTGCCTCACCTGGGTGGCTGCTTAGTTGGGCTTCCTTATAAGCCAGAGACTCGCTTTAGTAGACTTGACTTTGGGCGAGAAAGGACAATTCTCCTTTCCAACCTTCTAAGGTTGACTTCCTACCAGAACCCCAGAGGCTTCCATCTGCACAGCAGTTCTGACCCACTTCTGCCTGGCTGTGCCGCAGGGGGCACCATCCCCAGTGCTACTTACTCACGCCTGGAGGGGAAATGAATCCTCATTAAATAGGCAGGTCCCAGCGAGGCATTTCTGCATAGCCGTTATTAATCTCACAGAGCATGGGAAAAATACAGCTCCGGTTTTCCCGGTTCCATTTCCAGCTGTGTTGATGCTCAAGACGGATGAGCACTCCAGGGTGATCCCTTCACTGTGGCTTCCCTCCAGCCAGAATGCGTGCTTACCGGTGGGCTCTCTCTCTCGTTCTCTTCTCTCTCTGTGTGTCTCTAGCAGGTTCCCACTCTGGTAGTTTCCAAGCATTGGTTCCTGGCAGGGCAGATGGGTATTATAACTTTGTTTTCTTCTTCACATCTTCTTCTTTTTTTTTTTGAACAGAGCAGCACTTCCCGGAGGTGATGCTGGGAGAAGAATTCCTGAGCCTAAGTCTGGACCAGGTGTGCAGCTTGATCTCCAGTGACAAGCTGACCGTCTCTTCAGAAGAGAAGGTATGGCTGGCCCTCTGCGGGGAAACGGGAGCCATGGGAGGGGCCCGGGGTTCCCTGAGAGCTCTTCTCTCTTTCGTTGGTTCTGGAGCATAGGGCTTGCCCCTTTAAACTAAAAGCGATGTCTTCTGGACCATGACTATGGTGTCCGCCTGCTGGACCCCTCAGGGAAGAAGGAGAGCGGTGCTGCTGATGGCAATGATAGATCGGTCCGCTTACTCAACACTCCCAGACTGCCAGCCCCTGTGCCGAGTGCTTTCTCTGCTTCACTTCAAACCTGTCCCCAGCCCTGGGGAGCGGGCATGCTCTTGTCCCGTACTGCAGAGGAAGACACCGAGACTCAGGGGAGCTGACGCCAACGTCCATCCGCTGGCTGCTGACTGACCTGAGGTCTGACTGTCACTGAAGCTTAAGAGTGTCCCCAAGCATGTGAGCCACAGCAGGCATTCTGGGAACATCTGTTCCCAACCTCTCTTTTTACTGTTGGGGAAACTGAGGCTCCGAGAGGGACTTGAAAACTGGAAGGTTACACAGTCAGTGATCTAACCAGGACTAGAACCCACGTCACCCGACATCGAGCCCCCTAACGCATCACCCGCACCCCTCTTTTCCGGAAGCTCACCTTCTTCTCACTGCTGCACTGACCCGTGACTGTTGACATGCTCTGCCTCCAGGCCATCCCTCTGATTGTCTCCTCGGCTTGGGCTCTTCTCTCCTCCCAGTGTCAGCTCTTGAGTTCCACAGCTGGTCGGAATCCTCTTCTGGGTACCAGGAAGCATTTCTTTACCAGTGCAGACGTAGTCTGCCTATGCTAGAGAAAATAACAAGATTGGGTGCTGGCTAGTACGATCCAAATGTCATCTCTTATATTTATGAATTAGTGATGGTAAAGGGAAGATGGTACTAGAACTTACTTCATAGGTCACTTGCAGGGATCAAATAATATACGTAAAATGCCTGCTATAGTACCTGCTACGTAGTAAATACTGTCAGTGTTAAGAGATGGTTTTTGACCTTAGTCGAATTCATTCCCGTCCTTCAGTGTTCCAGGATGGTGTTGTACCGTCTTTGACTCGTGACCCCCATGTGACAGAGCAGAACTGCGAAATGTCCCTTCAAACATTAACTTAAAAATTGAGGGGACCTCATTGCTTCTTCCAAGGCCTTCAACGTCTCTTTGGGTCTGTGCCGTTAAACTGGTCCAGTTTAAAGGAGTGAACCAGTCAGTTGATTGGTGTGTGACTGTGTGGGGGCAGACAGTCCGTTAGGGGCTGTGTGAGCATGTCTTCAAGTGCAGGTTGAAAAAATGGAAACACAGCCTGACACAATGGGGCTTTTGGGTTGAGAAAGAGGGCTTTGTGTGCTTGAATTGATGCTGGCCCATCCTGCTGTGAGCTCCTACTCAGGTTCCCTCCAGTGCAGACCTGCTGCAGTGGGGCACGATTGTTTGTAGGGAGAGGTATTAATAAACGCCCCGGAAAACACTTGAGCTTGGCTTGACTGCTTACTGGCAGTGCCCTTGAAAAGTCAAGGTCTCCTTGAACCTGGGATTCCGGGACACTAAGAATACCTCCCTGATGAAAGTGTCGTGAGCATTGGCGATAGGGATGTCAAATAGCAAATATAGTGTTTGGCAAGTGCTCAATACATAGCCGTTGTCATTGTCATGGCACCATTGAACATACAAAAAACACTAAGTAATTAAAACAAAACACAACGGTGCTGTCAAGTGGCTTCGTGTGGTGACCCACGTGTTCCAGAGTAGGACTGCTCTAGAGAGTTATCGTGACTGATCACCATGTCGTTCCTCTGTGGTGCTGCTTGGTGGTTTTGAACTGCCTCCCATTTGTACCATTGGCATTGTGGTTAGGCATTCGGCTGTTGTCTTCAAGGTCCAAAATTCGACCAGCTGCTTCTCAGGAGAAAGATGGGACTTTTTACTCCCGTAAAAAGAGTTACAGTCTCTCAAACCACAGGGCCAGTTCTACTGTGTCCTATCGGGTCGCTCTGAGTCGGCCTCGACTCAAGCACAGCAGGGAGTTTGCTGTTTGGTGTGGAGAAACCATCTGATATGGCAGTGGTGTATCAATCCATTTTGCCCTTGAGCAGTGTGCCACTGCAGTCCCTGCATTTTCCCAGCAACAAAGAAACATATCGAATACGTATACCTTAACCTTTGTAGCACACTCATTGATTCATAGGCTTACCTATGAGTTACTCTCTCGTCCAGCCCGGGTTTGGAGCTTGAGTATTTTTCCCATCGATGGAATTCCGTGTCACTCTGGCTCTCAGAACGTTCCGAGTCGCTCCAGCATTACAGGATGCGTCTCATGAGGCAGACTGTGATCTGACCTGTTCAGTAACTTTAAGGTTGGCAGTGCCATTTTGAGCCTTACCATAGAGGAGTGTTGGTGTCTGCATCTTCTCTTTGGGTAAGCCCATAGGTTTATTTTCTCCTAATAGGTCCCATATTGCTGGAACTTAATCACTTCTCTTGAAAGTCAGCTGGGAGATTCTAACAATTAGATGCCCATCATTTGGATGATAGACTTTTATCATGGGTGAGTAGTGGCGGCAGTCTCTTCAGGTTTTGAAAATTCTGTCATCCGTTCTAGAAGATTCAGTGATTTCTACTTCCGTTCCCTGTTTGTGGCAGGCAGCCTTTTGAATGCAGAATAATTGAGTTAAGGTGACCTTAAAATAAATACATTTGAAATGATACTGTTGTGTGCTGTTGAGTCATTTCCAACTCGTAGTGACCCTGCTGGACAGACAGACTGCCCCTAGGGTTTCTTAAGCTGTAAGTCTTTCGAAGGGCACACGGTCAGCTCCGGCTGTGTGATGGATGGGTCCCAAGTGGGCTCAAACCACTGTCCTTTGGGGTAGCAATCCAATGCTTAACCATTGGGCCACCAGGACTTCTGAGAAAATACTAAGGACCTCAGTTAAATGCAGCTGCATTTAGTGTTGAGTTTTTAGAAGACGCAGCTGAGGTGGTCATGGCAGTGAACAGTCTGGGCTTGTGCAGGGAATGCTCAGAGCAGCATGGCCAGCCTGGCATCCTGACTGTTTTCTTTCAACAGTATGACAAGTGTAACGAGATTGTAGACTATTAACATGTGTGTGTGGGGGTGAGGGGGTGGGATGGGTGCAGAAAGCCTTGAATCTTACACTAGAGGACACGTTGCTGCTCATTGTTGACGAGGATCACCGGTGGCATGGCGGGCTGTGGGCCGTTTGGTGGCCGAGAGATCCCCAGTTTCCCGATTGAAAGTGTGCTTACTGCAGACGGAGTAGCTGGGACTGAGTCTTGCCTCCACTGCTTTCCTAGGCCGAGTGACCTTGGGCAAATGGCTTACTTCCACCAGAACGTAAACACCACGCGGTAAGGGATTGTATCTGCCTTCTAATCATTGCTAGATCGGTATCAGGCTCCTGCTAGCCACTGAAAACAAAATAAAAAGGTGTGTTCAGTGACTGCCTAGAGACACGCCCGCAGCCTCCGTTTTCTCACCCATGAAAAGGGGGCCTAGGGATGGTGGTAGTGCAGCTCCCTCCGAGTTGTTCCGAAGGTGAGAGGAGACGAGACCCTTCAGGAGCTGAGCACATACGGCAGGAGGGGGAGCCTTTTTTTCTGCCAAGGGCCATTGGGATATTTGTAACTCATTTGCTGGCCATAGGGAATTGTCAACTTAAAAATTAGCCTGCTCTGTGTGGTCAACTATTTAATGAACGTACCCCTAACATGACGGCTGGCACGCTTCTCTTTGGTGAGGTCTGTGGTGCTGGCTGATTTTGATGATTTCGTACACCTTGTACAGGCCGAGGGCAAGGGTGTGCCCCATCTCCGACATAGGACGGACGAGCTCGTTGTTGTAAGGTGCTAGCCTTATTTCTGCTGTTGTTGTTTCTAGGTATAATCTTAATCGTCCTGGTGGTAGGAGTGGTGGTGGTGGTAAGAGTAGTAGTAGTAATGTGGAATAGACGTGTGCGTAAGAGGAAGCTTCACAGAGCCCCTATGGGGCTGGCTCCTTGGAGTGACCTGGGGCTTACAGAGCTAGTGACTTCCGCTCCCCAGCATTCTCCCGGAATTCTGAGGTTATTCCTCCTCCCACATCACTTGTCTCCGGCACCTTTGAGTCACACACAGTGCCTGACGCAGGGTCCCGGAGGCACCTGGGAGGCGCTCTTCAGATGGTCCCTGGGGAGGAGAGATGGGCTGGAGTCTGCCAGCTGAGGCTGTGGGAGTCATGTAAATGGTGTCCAGAGTCAGAGAAGATGTGGGAACTCGAAGTCAGGGGCGGGCATGGATCTTTGCACCTTTCTCTCTTGTTTTTCCTTGATGAGGTGTTTGTTTTAAAATATCTGGTCCCTGAGAAAGGACAAATGGATATGGCGGGGATCACAAATTCACCAGTTTTTTAATGGTTAAAATATGTGTCCCCAGCCCCTGAAGATAAGGCCAAGAGGAGCCCCTCCCAGCCACCCAGTTCTTTTGCATGTGTAGTGTTGTGCTCAGAGCTGAGTTAGTGAATATTCAGTGTATTCTTTGAGATCCAAAGTTGGCCCCTGGCCTTGGGAAGATAGCTTCTGTGACCCAGGGACCAGACATGCAACCTCGTGGGACGGACGCACTCACAGCTCACATGCGAAGTTTCCCACCAGACTGAAGAAGTTACTGGACTTGGTTCTGTGGTTTGCTTTCTTAGCCAGCAAGTGCAATTCCAGTTCTCAAGAGAGATAGCCCTGAGTGGGTAGTAGTGGGGAAATGGCTTAAGTTTTAGATACAGTGTATGAAGAAACTGGTTCGGTAAATATTAGATTAGGGTCAAGCATGTGCTACATGAGAGCTGCAGGTTAGTTTCTCTGCATGCTGTTACTGTGTGGTTTCATGTGCCATTGTCTCCTACAAGAGAGGAAGTTTGTAGGCTTAATACTTCCTTTTTAAAAGAATTTTATTGGGGACTCTTATACCTCTTATATCCATCCATCCATCCATCCAT